CAGCAGTTAGGATCGAACTCAATCATAAATGATCTTTAAGACAAGTTTGCTAAATTTACACCACATCGAAGTGTCCCTAAACATTTGTCAAATGATTTTATATGAAAACAAAGCATTCCTTTATTTAACAAATGACTTGGAAAAGGTGTTGGAAGTTTAAGAAGGAAACAAAAAATCAATAATTGTCATTGTTGGTTCGATTAATTGGACAGTGTTATTGAATCTAACACAACCGCAGAATTCTGGAAATATTTGCTAGGCTAAGCTTAGTCTGCCAGAAGACGTCGATCTTATTAGCATCAATGAGGATTGAACTAACAACTCAATCAGTAGTATGCAAGGTTATTTTTCTCTTAACTGATCTGCAGTTGGCGTTTTTTTTTCAAACTGCCACCGAAAAGAGAAACTGTCGAATAACAAGGCTAGGAATAAGATGACATGGACGTTTATCTCAAAATTGTTCACAGAATAAGTGTTAAAAATAAATAAACATTTCTGGCTCAACAAACGTTGTTAATTCATAAAACTATTAATAATTACTTTTACAAAAATGTATTGTTGGTAATATTTTTTTTCAAAAATATTGTTCGCATTTTTACTATAAAAATTTATACCTGTACTTTTCTAGTGTTCTGGACCCATTTTGTGTGTTCACTATTTTCCCATAGCTGGGACCCAAACAGGTGCTACCACCCCGGGTCAGAGTGGACCTGGGAACAACACCGATTAATAGGTGGTTCCACACTCCTCAAAACCTTCCGAACAGAGGCCTTGTAGTTTATCGTCATACACAGGACGAATGGTATTAGGGTGGAAAGCAAAACTATACAAGACTGGCAGCTGAAAAAGCTGGAGGAACATAATGATGACACGAGGTGTGCGAAATTCAAGAACTGCTCGTTCTTTTTTTACCCACAGCATTCTCTAGTGAGACCGGAAGTGCTTACAAATCATCATCGTCACTTTGATGTTATAAACCCTTTTCTTCAGACCTAGATTTTTTCTTTCCATAGACTGCAACATCAGTTTAATAGTTTATACAATGTGACATTTTAAATGCAGTAAATAGATGAACATCTCGTAGTCAGCCTCGAAAATGTTCAGCCTGAGTGACTTACATATGATCTCAGGAGGATAGGCTTTTTTTTAAGCTGTTACTGACGCATTAGCTTAGTCAGAAGTATTTTAGCTTCGTTGAAAGATCAAAAACAAATCTGAAAGAATCAAAAGTATATTCGAGAACTAGTTAACCCTTCCGCACTGGTTAACCCTTTTACACCTGTTTGGAAGTCTTTGGGGTTTGAAAAACAGACAAATTATATTAGTAGAAAATGATGGACATTAATCAATTAAAAAAAAAAGGTCGTTATGTATGTAGTCATTTGGCATGATTTTCTCGATTCCAATTGATGAATAATGAAGCAAAGTTAGGCGTCGTGTTATTGACTGGGTAAAAGGGCCTATTTTTGTTACAACTTTATGTTATCATTACAAACACTGAGACATAAAGAACAAAAGAGCTGTATATTTTCTAATGTGTATATACCTACGTATGTACGTAGTTGATATAAAAAGACAAACCAATAGATATGCAGCTAACAGCGTTAATTTTCTAACGAGCACACACACGTGTGTGTTTGTATAAAAAGAGAGAGATAAACAGTGTGGAGACTGTATGATTATTAGAAATTTTAAGGCTCAATGCGATGTGTTGTTCTATGAACATCACTTAAAGTGACCATCGGCCAACAAAACAACAGACCCACCATGTTTTCGGTGTCCAAATTGTCTCTAAAATATCTGTATATCTTCACTTTCTCCCATAAATATAGGCAGCATCTTTTTTTATGAATGTTTGGTTGAATATGACCGACAAGGATTATTATCGAAATCTTTAATCAATTTTTCTAGTGTCATTAGAATTTTTTTTTTTTTTCGTAGAGTAAATTGTCCATAGTGTTTTCAAATTGCCTTCTGCAGTCTTCAAAAAAGATAAATTATAAGGTCTCAAGAAAAAAACTGAATAAGAAAAAATGACAAAATATTCGTTGTCCATCATAACGAAATATTTAAACGTTATCTTTAAACGTTATCTTTAGTAGTGACTCATATTTGAGTAGTCGATCCGTTTACTTTTTAAACAGACGATGTTCTTCGTGTCTGAGTCGGTGAAAAGCACCTTGGATCTGACGACGGTTTCTCCTGAAAGGGGAACACAAGTTCATATTCTTCAGGGGGCATTTTTTTTAAAGATTTCTCGAAGATTCAGGCCGGTAGACGAAAATAAAATACTGTTTAAAAACAAACAGATCATCTACTCAAATACAGGTATCCACTAACAATAACGTTTAAGGTAATAAAATTATGTCGGATTAATAAATAAAAATCTATCATTTTCTTTATATATATATATATATATATATATATATATATATATATATATATATATATATATATATATATATATATATATAGAGAGAGAGAGAGAGAGAGAAGAGACAGAGATAAGGGAAGATGAGGGGAAGAGATAGATAGATAGATAGATAGATAGAGAGAGAGAGAGAGAGAGAGAGAGAGAGATTGGGCGTCCTGGTCGCCTGAAGATCGTAGTAGTGTGAAACTTAAGTAGCGGTCTGAACTTTGTGTATATATCTTTCTGGCTAGTTCCAGCTTTCTATCGTTTGCTGGAACCAGTTTGAAGCTACCCAGTTTGATGTCATTTATAACGTTCAAACTGTATTTTACATGAATTTTTAATACAAACGCACACACACACACACAGACACACACACAGACACACACACACACACACACACACACACACACACACACATATATGTATATATATATATTTTTTTTATGCATGTTTCTAGCGTGGTCATGTGTGACGTCACGAGCTGCGGTGCGATTTTCGCTTCCGAGTCTCCTATACACGAGTTTGTCGTTGCTAGGAAATCTTCCGTGCAACAAAGACAGACTATCATTATTGTTTCGTCCGTATTATCGTTTAATATATAGAACTGTAATTGCCATCTTTGATAATGGTTTATGTAAGCCGAAAGCTTAGATAGGATTAAAAACATGTATCAATATGGTGTTTTTCTTTCATCTTTCAATGATAATGTTATTGCTTATCAGACAATATGAAAGGAATTCACTTAAAATAAATAGACAAAATTTGTCTATATTATTTAATCAATGCATCAATGAAAAATTCTGCCTACATATACACAATATATATATATATATATATATATATATATATATATATATATATTAGTAGAGTGCGTGAGTTCTGTGTATGTTTAGTGTGTGGTAGTGATGTTTTAGTTTCTACTAAGCTGATAATTGAATCATCCTTGATAATGGCTAAAGGTATAGCCGAAAGCGCTCGGAAACACAGAACATTCGGACAGTTCTTACACACTCTTTGTCCAGAAAAGAAAGCTCTTGTCAGAACACAAGAAAATTAAATAAAAAGCTCAACCGTAGTACCTTGTCTGTCGTTTTTAATGAAACATGCATAAAGGAAGGATTGCTGCCTAAATATACAAATATATATATATATATATATATATATATATATATATATATATATATATATATATATATATATTCTCTGTGTAGAGCTGTGTGCATACGAATGTTTTTATAAATAGCTTCAGTATTCTAACGTAGAAGTGAACGTTACCCAAAGTCTACTTTGGAATTAACACACAGTGACGTGCCTAAATGTTATGTTACCTTTTATCCTTGAAAAAAAGTAGCGCTCAAAAAACAATATTACGATCATATTTGTTTCACCTTTGGATAAATTCTGCTTGTACTAATTATGAAAATACTTCTTTGATTACAACATCACGTCGGCATTTTTGCATCTCAGCATCTTCATAGCGAACGAATTTCACTTGTATTGCATGCGTGTATTTAGTGTAACTGGCAGAGAGACAACAAAGTGGAAACAAAAACTGCATTGTGAATGATTAGATCCAATGTCGGCATATTTTACTTCCAGGTAATAGCATAAAACTCTGCCAAACTGTGAAAGTGAGAATGTAAATAATGTCATAAAACAATAGGAAGAGGTGAGAAAGAAGTCATCATATTTTACGACCGGGAAAACGGAGACGTTTAGTTTTGTTTCAGTTCATCTGACGACAGCAAAACAACTTTAAGAAATCCTCACGGACTATTTTATGATTACTTCCATTTAAGGAATACACGTTCCATTTTCTTCAGAAATATTTCAACTTTGAGCCAGCGTCTTGTCTCCATGAATTTGCACGGTAATCGAAAACTAAGTTCTGAGACAGAGACCTATTGTGAGTCTAGGCATAGAAAAACAATATCTTGATATTCTCCCTTTCGTATGACAAACTCCGTCGCAGCCAAAGATGATATGACGTTTTATCATCCCTAAATTTGATTTCCCAACAAATTCCGACCAGATCTTACTAAATGTAAAATGACAGATTAGTCATATCCCTTTCCTCAGTTTCATCTTGGATCGGGAAAACTTGACAGCATGACCAACAATAGTCAATAGTACACACCACGATGCATAGTAAATTGAACGCGTTATTATTATTATTGGTTTAACTTCGGACCACTAATGAATCTTTCATCTGATGTCACTAACTTGCTTTGCATAATGTTTTAGTATTCTTTTAGTATTCTCAAATTTTGTCAGTTATTTTTCAATTAAACTTTCCTTAACCTTGAAAACAAAGACAGAGGCCAACAAAGCTTCTGTTACATCTGTTCTTTCGAAAGCATTGGGTTAGAATTTCTGGGATGAGAAGTTATCATTATACAATGCATTATACAATTATTTACATTCGGACTGTCATAATTTATTGTCATAAACTTTGTTGTTATAATCACAAAAATGGGTCATTGCGTTCTCTGGGCATCTTCAGGTGTCTGTCGACCAGGTAACCTTCAGCGAATTTCAAACTTAACCCTTTATTGAATCTATGGAGTAGATTGTTCTCGTTCCGTATTGGATTGAACATTGCACTGTTCCCTTTGAGGGAACAGGAAAAATGAACACTCGTATTCCTTTTATTCTATATCAACCATTAATTGAGGAATTTCTCTCAATGAAGTCTTAAAAACAGGTTAAAAGTTTCATAGTAATTATAATATTTCTTCAATAAAGTATTATATTTGTACAATATCATAAAGAAGTAATTTATACAAGGAAATAATTAGCAATGTTAATGAGAATAGTGGCGAAGTTATTTCGCTAACAAGACTTACTGAGACATTAACTTACTATCAATTCCTTGAATCCTTATATTTTAGTTGTATATTTAAGTTTTTGTCAGATGGAATTGACGAGCCATGTACTTTCGATAATTTCAAATTTTCATCTTTTTCCATATACACCACGAACTATGTGGACTGTAGACCGACAGATGTTTTTTTTTATTTATATAATATATTTTTTATATATTTATATAATATATTTTATATATTTATATAATATATTTGTATATATTTATATAATATATTTTATATATTTGTATAATATATTTGTATATATTTATATATATATTTTTTATTTATATAATATATTTTATATATTTATATAATATATTTTATATATTTATATAATATATTTGTATATATTTATATAATATATTTTTTTATTTATATAATATATTTTTATATATTTATATAATATATTTTATATATTTATATATATATATATTATATAATATATTTATATAATATATTTATATATATATATATAATATATTTTTAAATATATAATATATTTATATATATTTATATATATATATTTTTATATATTTATATAATATATTTTATATAATATATTTTATATATTTATATAGTATATTTTTTTATTTATATAATATATTTTTATATATTTATATAATATATTTTATATATTTATATATTTTTATATATTTATGTAATATATATTTATATAATATATTTTATATATTTATATAATATATTTTATATATTTATATAATATATTTTTATATAATTTATATAATATATTTTTATATAATATATTTTTATATATTTATATAATATATATATATATTTAGTAATATACTTAAAGGTAGTGTGAAAAGTGTTACACATTAAAAGGGTGAATAAAAAATTGCATTTCTGATCTTGTTAATATCAAGGACCGAAAGGGAACATAAATTCTTTTTCTATTATGGTGAGCATATTTACTTTATATTATTTCGGTTAAAATAAATCTTAGGTAGGTAGATACATGGATAAACAGGTAGGTAAAAAAGTACTGATTTTTATAAAATGGCGTTGGCATGAACGGTGTGTATTTGAAATAAAAGTATTCGGAAATGAACAAAGGTTTTTTTAAAAAATGAAATTTTTAACTAAGTTCAAAAGACACTCGTGATATGATGCCATAAATGAAATTCGGGGGCACTCCGACGTGCTGTAATGGTTAGCAAGTTTGTCTCGCTAGATCAATTACGACTTAATAGGGAGTTCGATCTTCATCAGGTGCTCCATACTTTCGGCCTTCTGACATGCTAAGCTTAGAAAAATCACCATAAGTGAAGTTTGGTGTTTGTTTTAAAGCAAAGCCAAATAAGCACGATTAAAAAACCAATACAAAACAAAAAACGATCTTTTTTTTAGAGATACTTTTATGTAGTTCAGCTTATTAAAAAACAGATGTTGAAGACATGATGATTTATAAATTTTAAAACAGACATATTTTTTTTTTCTGTTGCCGAAGTTCAAGCGAAAATACTTTTTTTGTGGATGCAATGACCTAATAAATATCCGATTTGGATTCACCTTAATATATTACATAAATATATAAACATATATTACATAAATATATAAACATATATTACATAAATATATAAACATATATTTCTTAAATATATAAAAATATATTATATAAATAAAAAAGGCGAATCCAAATCGGATATTTAAATTAAAAGCATTTTTTTTTTTTTTACATGATAAGAAATGGCTATAATAATTTCAATGCTTGTAACATATTCAGGGTGTCTAGTGAATACATACAGACTGTTTAACGAATATATTCTGGGTGTATAATAAAGAACTATCACTTTTAGTGGCTGGGTCAAATATAGACACGGACATTTAGTACTTGAAGATTAAAAATATTTCTTTACTTACCACTTCCCTGGGTGAAATTTTCTTTCAGATCCCTCGGACCGATCCAAGGTAATCCTGATTTGCTGCTCTTTTCTCACGCTTAAATTCCAATAATCTGAGAAAAAAAAACAAAAAAAAAAACAATAGAAAATTAGTTTCGTTTTACGAGGCATCGATTTCCCACCCCCTCCCACCCCCGCAAACCGACCAAACTTGTCAGTCGATAATATCAAATGCGGATTATGATCATTACGATTAAGAAGTTTAATTGAGATGCATCCTTAAACTGAAAAGTAAATTATATTTACAGCCTTAAGCACACTGCAGCAAGTATGTAATGGATTTCTAAGAAAAAAGGTCTAAAAAAAAAGTTCTAAAACTTACTGGAAAATAGCATAACATGTAAAAGTCTTGATCCTATCGGTCATTTGCGTACAGAAAATATGTTCCTTTTTTTTTAGGGAGCGGTGCTGCACTTGATGGCATTATCTCTACGTTTTGCTAATTTTACCAATAGCTTGTGTGAGGGGTGGATACTGCATCTGCTTTTTTAATACAGACACTTTGCAATCAAGTCTAGAGAAAGCAATCTGCTCTGTTATTTTACTCATAGCTAGATAGAGAACTAGACTTACCAATTCCATTTTTCAAGTTATTAACCCTTAGGAAACTCGTACATCCATTGGGAGAATGTTTTTCAAACAAAACGAAATAAGATTTTAAAAAAAAGGGAATGACCTTGTAATTGTAAAAATTGGAGGTCTTTTTGAGAAGGACAGAAATAACAATTAATTGTAAAGATGCTTTTTAATTTTACAACAACCAACTTTGGTTCTAATTGCCAATCAAACAGGATTCGTGAAAGAATTTAGTTATTAGTTAAAGCGTAACTCAGTCTGATAACGAAATGCTCGCATTATTCACGCAAATATGAAGCCTGTTTCCTTTACTAAAGAGATAACAATGCTTTTTTTTTTTCACTGGAAGGGAAACGATCATTCGTTGTTCTGAGAAGCGACATTGTAATATCAAATGTAAAAAGCTCTATTATTAATGTCAATACGAAGTGTAGAACTTGCCAAGCGCAACATTGCTTAGCGGAAACTAAAATTGTGGCTTGCAAGTGATGAAGAGAAATTTCGTTGGATAATTGAATCGGGTGATCAGTAATGCACAACGCATAAATCTCTCACTTCATATGATTGCCAGTCGTTTAAAATTAAATCGTAATAATTGCAGTAATTGGCGGTTGGATCGATAAAAACAACGGGAGAACACGTTCAAGCAATTGGAAGAGAAAAAAAAAATGCCAAAACAAGAACACGTAACATGCCGGGCTGCGTTCAAGTGAAGAATGGTAATAAATTGATAGAACTCAAAGTTTTCTTTGCTTGTCAAATAAATATTTTATATTTGAAATCAGATATTGAAAACCAGGTGGGCATCAAAATCTTCGTTTTATATGAAAGAGATATTGTATTAAAATGAATAAGTCTAGTCTTTTCATTAGTTGTTTCTAAAAGTGATTCACTTTCATTTGGTTGATATTTAAACGGAGTGAGTGTTAAGGAAGCCAAGTGGTGAGAACATAGGCTATGGAATTTGAGGTTCTATTTTTTTTCCGGTGCTTAAGAGAATGACCCGAGTGAAAAATCTTGATTTCAAACCAGACTACACAACCTTTCTCCGTCGTAGATAGATATGAAGAGGCTCTTATAGATATGAACAGGCTAAGATAGACAGATAGATAGATAGATAGATAGAGAGAGAGAGAGAGAGAGAGAGAGAGAGAGAGAGAGAGAGAGAGAGATGGACACATCTATCTGAATACAAAAATCCTTCGTTTACGTTTTTGAAGATTTAATACAGATCTTTTATTTGTCCTGGAAAAGGTAACAGTTAAATTAAGAACAATTTCTTCAGCATAGTCTTTGAGGAAGCGTGAATGGTTGCATTTATTTCTTATGGAAATACAAATAAAATAACTTCCTTTTTAAAGAAGTGTAAAATGGATAGAATTGTTTCTTTTATAAATTTGCAGTCCTTTGCATTTCTTTGTATTGAAGTACCAGTGAAGTTGGAAAATGGCGATTATGCCATTACCTGGCAGTTTGGCTATTTTCTCACACAAGACTCTAATAAATAAAGACAGACGCTCAAAACATATTTATCCCAACATAACTATAAATATAACAGCCATTTTGCTGCTATATCTACTCTCAGTAATGACAACATCGCAGATATAACCGCTTACGCATATGACAATGCACATGAATGATACTTTTGACGATATGATGTCCAATGCCGATGGTCTTGCAAAATGCAACATTAGTTGAATTGCGACCTTCCTTATGCAGTCGCTAGACTGGTCATGTTGCAAAGATGAATGACAACAGAATACCAAAAGTCCTCATGTATAGCCAGCTTTACAGTTGACAAAGAACTGCTGGACGGCAGTCACTTAGGTATAAAGACAAGCTAAAGAGTAACCTTTCAGCTGTCTATGTGCCTCATAGGAACTAAGAGCGAGTTGCCCTGGATAGAAATAACTGGAGATATTTGTGCTAGAGTGGTATCAGAAATTTCGAAATCAGTCGTATTGACCGGCTAAGTATCAAAAGAGGACAGCGAAAAGCGTCAACGAATATTCCTGTCGATTTGCTCCCAGATACTCCATGTAAAACAATATGTGGACATGTATGCAAGTCACTAGAGGGACTGAAGTGTCACATACGACGCAAACATAAAAACCGAATGAGGTTGTCGGATACTCATACGTCGAAATCGACGGGAGAGTCCATCATAAATATAAAGACACAGTGGAGTAATGGACAGCGGCTTGGATTGAGGAATCGGAGAGCCGAGTTCGAATTCCAGTCGAATCCATTACATTCACTTACGTGCTAATACGGTTGGGAAAGGTGTGAACCCTCTTCTTCTCCCTCCAGCTATGGGTAAATAGCAGGACAGACTGGGTTCTATAGCCTTGGATGGCAACTGGTCTAGGAGAAGGACAACTCTGAATTCAAAACCTGCGTAGGGTCGTTTGGGGACCCTGTGTCACGTACTGCACCTAGTTTCTGTATTCGGCCCTTCAAAAAGTGTGGATGGTTCTGCACAAAACCTTCACAACTATAATCAAATCACATGTGCTGGTGTCGGTCTGTCAGTTTCCTAGGAACTGATCTGCTTGAATTCGACGGGAGAGAGAGTTGAGTATATATATATATATATATATATATATATATATATATATATATATATATATATATATTATTTATTTTCATAGATACAAATATTGAAGTAAACGCTTTGTTTATAATAAATAGTATTAACTACATTTACCGGCCTGAATATCCGAGAAATTTTCATAGAAAATATGTGTCCTCCGACAGAAATCGAACCAGTATCCTACACGGAAGCGTTATTTCATGTTGGTAAATGTCGTTAATACTGTTTATTATGAGCAGAGCATTTACTAAAATATTTTGTATCTATAAAAATAACGTATAAACAGAAAATATATTAAAATAATTATCGGACTTTGTTCATTTCATAATATATATATATAATATTTCACACCAGGCAAGACAATAAAGCCACTAAGATGCAAGGGGTTACTGCGTGTGGAAGAATATGAGAAAAAGGAAATAATTATTAAGGAGAGAGAACAATAAAAGAACAAGAATTAAGAAGACAGAAGATAATGATTGACTTCGCATTTAATTTTTTGAAGATCAAAATTGACTGGAAAGCAAGAAGTTGAAAGAGAGTTCACACACACACACACACACACACACACACACACACACACACATATATATATATATATATATATATATATATATATATAGAGAGAGAGAGAGAAAGAGATTCTAGGGGGCGGGAGAGAAGGATAGAGAGAAAAGTAGAAGGCCAGAAAATTGTTATTCAACACATATAACATTTTGCCCCCTTTTGAATTTTGAGTTTTATATTTTGTTTTAATGATTTCTTCGCAAGATATGGCTTTCAAATTTCTTCAACTGCTTTAAGCAGTGAGCAGTTTAAAGTTATTTTCGACAATCGTCCAGATCTATTACATGCTTTATGAAACGCTCAAGACACTTACAGGAGTTGCGAAGATGTCCAAGAATTATAAACAGTACATCGAATAATTGTTCTTTATAAAAAAAGAAAATATTTACACGGCCAAAAACTCGACTGAAGAAGGCAAAAAAAACCTGTTATTTTCTAAAAAGAAGTCACAAACGAAAATGATCATTATCAAAACAACAGCAAAAAAAAAAGAAGACTGAAACAATATTAAAATATTTTTTAGAAAATGATACCATTATTGAGCGAACATGTGGGATTTGGAAGGAAACATGTGGGATTTGGAAGGGAACATGTGGGATTTGGAAGGGAACATGTGGTATTTGGGGACCTTCCTTTAAAAAGTAGAGATTTCGCTTCCATTTTCTAAACCTAAAGTAAGAAATCACTTTCCCTGCCTCAGCTGCAAACTTGAAATAAGCTTGCTAATGGCTAAGTTTGAATTAAGGTTAGTAATGACTAATCAGTTGTTATATAACGTATTATATAATACTATATTACACTAATTTTGCATTATTTCCAACCTGTTGACTTTTTAATACGTTACCATTTGCAATGGGTAGGAAAACTATGACGAAAAAGGACGCCGAGTAATTGCTTGTCAAGATCCGATGTTTCATTCTGCTACTGACTGATTTTACAAGACGACAAAGATAAAGTTTATGTTCTCTTAATCAAGCTAATTACTGTTTTGTGGACAGATGTTTTTAGCCGACTCCGAAAACAGTGATCTTACGTGGGAATCCCAATCAATGCAAATATTCTATCCTTTCATTTCTCGGCCATTTTGGAAATATTTGCTTCACTGATAAGAATAGAAATATTCATCAAGGATCCGTAACCATTTCAATCGACCAATTCCTGTGATTAGTACAAAGGAATTTCCAATTAGTGCAATGGATGCTAGGTCAATGGTCGACCTTTATGCGATGGATGCACGGTGGAGGATAGATGAGTGGGCTTCATGATATCATTTGGCACGTTACAGGTTGCGAAGGATTGAGAGACCGGTGGTTCAGAGTTTCAATTCCCTATGCTTCAATTCGGGACTGGCTCTTTGGCAAGTGATGGCAAAGAATTGTGCCAAAATTTCATATGAAACAACGCTTTTCTTCAGTAGTCTCTGCTTCTGTTGTGGAAAGAGGCCAAAACTTTACCTCATCAACACCAATGAAACTGAAAATATATATATATATACCGGTATATATATATATATATATATATATATATCTTTCTTTCTTTCTTTCTTTCTTTCTTTCTTTCTTTCATGTAGATCTTTTCTTTCTTTCTGTTTATCTACCTCGCTAACTTAATATATTTAGAAACCTACTTTCATTTTTCGTGATTGTACTTCGTGTCTTTCTTTTTTTCTACCCATGAAAACAATTCTTTTGGTCCATCTTTGAAAAGTTACATTTCTTTGTGAATTTAAATTAACGAAGCTCACAAAAGTCCATCCTTCCAGATCAATGAATTGTGTGCCTTGCCAAAAATGTTTATATTCGTGCGGTGATAGAAACAAAACAACAAAAAAGAAATCAAACAAAATATTATAAAAGAAAAATAACAACAGGTTTATGGTAGTACCTATAAACAGGAAGATGTGGAGATTCATGATCATCATCAATCAGAAAACAAGTGGGTTACCTGACCCGAAGGCATTTCTAACCTGCAAGTTATTAAAAAAAAACAAAACTTTCACTGTAATACAGATTTGGCTAAGACACATATGCCTGAGCTACCGCGGGTGTCATGATGAATAAATTGAGCTTTGTATATTTGTACCCGAATTTCATTTATATTTTTGAAGATCTTAACAGGAAAGTAAGAAACTAACAGAGAGTTCCATAGGTGAGAAGTGCAAAAGAAAAACAGTAAAATGATGAGACCTAACTGCCAATCCAGTACTACGCTTAAATTCATGAAGTCAAGTTACCAAAGAGGAAAGCTCAACAGAACACTCGCCATGAAAATATTTATGAATAAGGAGCGGAAAATGATTTAAAACGAGATGCCAGGTCGGGACTGATAAAATTGCTGATTCTTATTTGGATTTTGTCAAGACTTTCAAGATACATAGCAGACTGTTAGCTGCCGTATTCGATGCAAAGACGGATGATAGATTTTTTAATGTGCTTGATAGATCCTGGTGAGAAAAAAAAATTTCCATAGACTTAGCAATTGATTCGATATAACCTTTCCAATTCATGTCAGTGGAAAACATTAGACCGAGAAGGCTCAAGAAGTTAATCTCCTGGAGGTCAGCATCAGCCATGTTGGTGGAAGACAAAAGAAAAAAAAAACAGGTTCTCGAAGACGATTAAAAGAAAACAGTTTAGTTTTGGGGGCGTTAAAATGAACAAGAATTAACTAAGCATGTTAGTACAGATCCGGCATAAGCGTACCCGATTTAGTCTAAAACGAACGTTTTGACTAGTGGAGGAAAATCTTTTCTGGTCAGTGTTCTTTTGTAGACTCGTAAACAATAAAGAATCTAACACAAGAATCTTTTTTTTTCAAGACGAAAATTTAACAATGTTTTAATGATAATAGAATAATATGCATAATTCCTGAGATATTAAAAGCGATCTCTTGTGAAAAAATAAAAGAAACCAGAAAACGTTGAAGAAATCAGACGATGTCGGCGTACGAATGTGTCGAAATCGATGGAAGTAAAGAAAAAATCAAATCTGGAAACATTTCTTAGTGCTTATCCAGATTCAG